CTTCAACTGAACCTGAATCGACAGCGGAAGAAATGTCAGAGGAAGAGATAATTGATGGTGTCTCTCAAAAACGTAAATTAATTACAAGAAAAAGTAAACAACTTAACTCTTTAACCCACAAGAAAAAGTTTTCGCGGTTAAGTTGTATATTCACATCATTATTACTCATTTCATTTCATGTGCAAGCAAAAATGAACTTCGTTCCTTCCAGCGATTATGTGTTGAATTATTTAGACACCAAAGTGGAAATTGGACGCTCTGATGTCCAACACATACTTGTTGTTTTTGACCCATGTGAGGCTCTCTTCCCTAATGTCTCATATTCAGCTGATGAACCAAAAGGAACAAATAAAAGATCACTAACTCAAGAATGTTTCTATGATGCGACTGTAACTAAGTTTGGTTACAAAAACGAAACAATAGATGGATTTCAATCTATGAACCAACATCAATGTCCACCTACAAAAGAGTTTTGCAAATTTTATCCTTACTCTTGCATTACCCTGATGAAATTCTTAAAAAAGAAACTAAACAACAAAGCGCCAAATATTCAAAATGATTATGCTGATTATAATGAAACGGAAACTTTTATTGATACAACAGACTCACAGGCAGCTCAAACCTCAAAAAAGGCAGAAATAGTATCATCACTGAAACGAAAATGTAAAACCATGTACGAGGAACATTTCATCAGACCCGTCAAAAACCTGTGTAAAGAATACAAACAAACTCGAAAGAGAGGTGTCTTTTTAGCCTCTTCCTTAATATTCGTTGGAGTATCGCTAGTTGTGCCATCAATCGTCCAGATTTGGAGTGGAGAAAAAACTTCAATTTATAGAAGCGAGGTCTCATCCGTCCGTAATGATATTCTAAGAACAGTTAATACTACGAGATTCAATGATGAATCAATTTCAAAAGTTGTTAGCAATATAACAAAAAATATTCATACTATTGTCGAGAGTTTAGAAAAATTAGAAATGAGAGTGAATAGATTGGAAGAAGTAATGTCAACACTATTTGTCGATTTTATTGAACTTATCCAACGGTTTACTCACATCTCTAGATCAATTAATGGTTTCAAAAATACTGGAACTCTGAATGAATTTTATAATTCATTGAAACTGGATCCACCTTGCAAAAATCGATGCCCGATTCTTAGAACAAAGACATTCAGTTGTAATTACAATAATGATAATTCAATAACTCTTGACTATAGTGTACCAATCATAAGCGAAAACAAAACTTTCGTTGAAATCGAAACATTCAACAAATTGATTAAACCCGTTAATCAATCTTACTGTATGGTGGAATATATTGGACCAAAAACATTCTTGTTAGATTTATACACGAAACAATTGTGTCCGGTACAAACTAACAAAATCAAAGCTGTATCTGCTCCAGCCCCAACCGATGAATACTTTCATTGTGATGAAGCTGAGACTTTGCAAGAAACGAATGCTTATTGGAAAATTTCTGATTGCTCACCTACGAAGCCAAAACTTTCATTTTCTCAAGTAATCTTTGGCTACAAAAACATTCATATTTTTTGTATCAATCGAAATATAACGATCGATGGAAAAAATTATACTTGTCCAAATAATCCATTTATCTTGTCCCCATCAGAATCATTTTCTGTTGGAAATTTTAATTGGACAAAAGATCGACTTCAACTCAAGCAACAATATACATTTGATATAAAAGAAAAAGCATTAAGATATTTAGAAACTGATGTCCCTGCTTTTGAAATTGAGATTGTGGACATGCAAGAGATTGAATTACAACAAGTTAAATTGGAAGCTAAAAGTGAATATACGTATTCATTTTTGTATTGGCTGGAAAAGAATTGGTTCTCTTTCATATTTCTCTGTGTCTTAATTCCGACTATGTTATACATATTGTGTATTAACCATTTAAAAGCCCGTTCGGTGTATATACCAGTAGCGCCGACAATACAATCTCCACAATTAATTTCAGCATTCTAATCATTTTAACCAACAATCATCATCATTATTATGTTTTATCTAATCACTTTATTATCTTACTAATCGGTTATTTTATTTCTTTATTATTATTACTTCTTCCTTAATAAAAATTTCCATAGTTATTTGGAAATTTAGGTTATTAAAAAAAACAACAAAAACAAACAAACATTCGTTCAAAATGAACCGTTGGCCGAAAAATTTGACGAAAGGAACCGAATTCAAAACAAGCGATTTAACCCAGTGGCATTCGTGAAATCAAAAGAACAAGCAAAAGAGAAGAAAAAGGTCGTACACGTTAGTTGGAAGGTACCGTCACGATGGTTAGAGTCGGAAAATATCCGACCAGAATATTTCCATTTCAAATATCCATACAATCGAGAAAGAAATTATAGATATTTCACGACTGATCCTTCTTTCTCTAAATTCGTAAAATTGACGATACAAGCCCTAGGATTCTCTACTCTGATCGAAATGAGAAGTAAATTGCTTGAGGAAATGAATATTGCAAGACTGCCGAGCAAGGAACGAATTAATATTGGATATCGTCATTGTACCGGTTGTTATGGTAAAGATCACAAGCGAGATCAGTGCAGAGTTTGTTCTTACTGTTTGGAATTGGGGCATATGAGAACAGTGTGCCCAGAAAACCCCAAAAGGGATAAAACTATTACACCAATTGCGGGAAATCTCGGAGAATCGAATAGCGTTGGACGTAAATGTTTCACGGTCTACGAAGGTAAACCCTGGTTCAGGAGAAATCATGAGTTCAATCCACAGTATTTGGCTCTATTAAAACCAATTGGACCCCCCGATGAGAAGATTCAAACGGTTGCTGTCGACGCTGAAGGTTATGGTGGTGGAAGAACAGTCGGTTGTGTTAATGTAGTTGGATGGGTTGGTTGTAATAAAGGTCAATGTCATGACCTTTACTTCGCGTCTATTAAAAATTGGACAAGAATGAAAGATCCGAAAACAGCAATCACCGGTATTCAGATTGAGGATTTTGCTGATGGAGTTCCTTTAACTAATGTTCAATCGAGACTAAAGGAGATCCTGGCTCATAAGAGAGTAATCGTTCATGGTGGAAATGATCTAGAACATCTAGGAATAGATCAAGAATTTATTTTTCATTATGGAGTTAAGGTTGTCGATACTGCAACGATGTTCAATCAATCGTTGGATAAACAACCGATTGCTCTTTCTAAATTGGTAAAATTCTTCTCTATAAAGTTTTGGAATCGTGATAATTCTAAATCGTTAATTCAAGGCCATAGTTCCGAAAGGGACGCTCGCGCAACCATCAAGTGTTATGAGAAGGCAACAAAGTTATTATTAACTCACGGAAAGTTACCCACGAAAGCGGAAATAGAAGAATTCAATTCGTGCGATAAAAACTGGAAAAACTGGCAAAAAGAAACTGAACCATCTTCAGTTATTCGTCATCACCGTATTCCGGAATTAGAAGGTCTCGATTTATATGCCTTGACCTCAGATGAGAAAGCTTTCCATCAACTATTTGTGTTCCCAGTTGAACCTATTGAACAAAGATCATATACCCCCGTTTCGACATGGAATTGGTCCGGTTTATAATCAAATATATTATATATACATTGAAATTATTGGTGTTGGTAAACAAAAAAAATACAAAATTAATTGAAAAATCACTTAGACAATTAGTTATTATTGTCAAAAGTCACAAAAACAAATTTTTAATTAACGCAAACCAAATCATCTCAATCAATTTACAACTTAAAAGTTATAATCATTATATTTTCTTTAAAATTTTCTATGTATTCCTTGGTAATCGCAAATGGAACAACCTAACTGCAACCTTCGATATGGAATTGGAACTGAGTCGTTTGAATCGTTATTATCGTAAAAGGGACTTTACGAGGATGGCCGCCGGAAGATGTCTTGGTAACTTCGACCAGGTGGATAAACAAGTTTATCCACCTGGTACCGTCATCATCATTAACCAAATTTTTCCCCTTTCTCTCTCCCTTCTTCCTCGCTCCCTCGTCCTTATCTTCATCCTCATCCTCCATTTTTCTTTTTGGAAAAGGAAAAAGGCCAGTTGGCAATGTCCCTTCAATGTTTTAAGTTTAAAATTTGTATGTCATTTTTGTAATATATTGGTTTTATATTATTTTGTGGTCATTTGTTTTTAATTAAATACTCATTGTTTGTGCGATAAGTTTTAATATTGAGATATTACGGAAACACTCTCTCTCTCTCTCTCTCTCTCTCTCTCTCTCTTCTTTCTCTTTCTTTAAAATCATTTTTAACAACAATGCAACTGTTAAACAATACTAATATTTGAAGGATACGAAAAGAAGCAAAAGTCAAAAGAAAGAGAAAAGAAAGAGAAAATTTGAAAAAATTATAACTTTTGACCCTCGACCTTTACAACAATCGTTCTATTTTTTGTTGGTGCGGAATTTGAAAAGCTTTCGAATAAGGGTCTCGGTGTCTCTGTAGCACATCAGGTTCTTTCTCAATGTTTGCATCAAAAAACGTGAATCGTATTAATTGTGTGATTAATTAACAATGTTAATTTAATTGTTGATTTTGATTGTTGATTGTTGATTTTGATTGTGGGCAACAATCAATCAGTAGGGTTAGATAATTGACCTTAAATGATGCTGATTCTGTAAATTAAATAATTAAAATTAATAGATAAAGATTAAAGTCTAATCAAATTAAGACTTGATTTAATTGGTTCCTTTTCGGAATTTTCCTAAATTGGTTATATTTCCATGGAAGTGAATTAATTGGAATTCATATTCCGTGTATCCAATCGGAATTAACTATTTAGTGAAATTCTGGCTATTCCCTATCTCTTTGTTTTCTATCGCTGAAGCTGAATCTTTGAATGAAACATTTATTTTTATGATAACAAAATTATTGAAAAACTTTAAATCACAAATTGATACTCCACATTGTTCCAGGTCCTGAGTATAAAAAATTTAGAATAGAACTAAGTTCTTAATTGAATCGTGAAGGAAGACAGTTCAACAATTTAATTATTGATATAAAATGAAAACAACTTTAATATCAATCATAACAACTATTTGCAACTAGAGTATAGTATCCATAAATTGTGCAAAGGATTCGAAAATGAAGAGTAAGAGAAAATGGTCAATAAATATTAGGAAGCGAGTTTTTTGTCACAGCTCATTTGCTCATTGTCGTGAAAGATCAAAATCCTCATCACTCTTATCCACCGATGATTGAATTTTAAACCACCGAGTACGATTTGCAAGACATCCTTTATATAACGGATTGAGAGGAGGCCAGCAATCACTCAGGATCTAAATAGTATTTATACAAGATGAGAACAAAATTTTGTATTTATATTTTTCTCTTGTGGTCTTTTTCTAATGAAACGCTTGTACGATTGGTTGATTGCGCTGAACTTACTGAATAAATTGGAAGACAAATTGTATCAATAAACGTTACTTGCATAACTGGGAATTCATGCTTCCTATCCCTATCCATCATGGCAATCGGCTGGGAATTGAGTTGATTTTTCTCCAAGTCTCCTTGTTGGAAAAATTCATCTGCTACAAGTTGAGCAATTCGACATTGAATTGACCAAGGTTTGCATATTGCTGAAACATCACAAGCAGTCATAAGCATTCCGGCTAAAATTGTTTTATTATTACCGATCCATTCAGTTGATTTATTTGAAACCAAGTCCTTGAATTTATCTCGTTTACTAAGAGTGGGAAATTGCAATGAAATAAAAAAAACTAGGTAAACAATTAAATATTCAATTTGAATGTTTGTCCATCTTACTTGAAATATTGTGCAAGATCTGTTGATAAAATACAAGACTCGATCAGGCTGACAACGGATTTGTACTCCTCTGGTGATAAAGCTTGAAGTATATTGTTACCCTGTCGAAAAAAAATAATTTTTTGCTCAGGTTAATTGTTGATAATTTGTTGTTTTCTTTCTGTTAATTTACCTCACTATTAAGTATCATTATGCATTGATCAAAGTGATGATGCTCCATAGTTGATGTACTGTAAAGAGTTGCTAATGGAGAGTCAATCCTATTGGAAGAACAATAATTTATAAATCGCTCTGAGCTATTGAAATTATATGACTGAGTTGAAAATAAGATAACTACTTTACTTTGACTGAAATGAGTTGTTGGTTCCTCGATGGTCCAAATCGTGACATAAACATGCAACAATTAAAGCCAAAATATCAAGTTGATTCATAATCTTTTCCATTCCTCCAGTCTAATTGAATAACAACTAACCATTAGTAAAATTGTATTTCAACGATCAAGCAACAAATTTACCGTTAAAATTGTGTACATGGTTTGAGTCACGTTGAATGAATGTCTCCAATTGTGATAAATTACTGGGCGATAATTTTTCTTAACACTTAATAACCATCGACATAGAACCTTAATCAACGATGAGAAGATTAAATTAGATGAGATTTAAATATCAAAATTAACAGATGAATGATTGATCACCTTGTAAGGTATTTGAAATCTATTAATTAGTCCTAATTCCATGAAAATTCTGAGTGTGGCCAAACATGTATCCGTTTCCGATAAATTGAAATCGCTGAAAGAAAAACTATCCAATCCATAATACTGAACACTTTCAACTTTCATAGACTAGAAAACAAAGAAATAAATTACTTAGAGCTCAGTGATTAACGATCAGAACTAATTCTCACAGTTAAGTTGTTTGTCTCCTCGATTGATGAGGATGCATGATAAGATAAAACCTCCAAGGCCACTTTTTGCTTAGCCATTAACTTGATCGCTTTTTCATACATTTGCGTTTTATGAATTCCTAATCCACAGAATATCGAAAAAGCCTAAAAATCCAAGTGAAAAAAAGTTTGCAGAATTTTTCGCTAAAAAATCTATTATAGCAATAAGTTCGATATATGTTACGAACCTCGAGTGTGGATATATCAACGTCGGTAAATAAATCACCAGCCGTTTTATTAATCATCTGAGCGACACCAATAACAATACCAGATGAGTTAAGAATTGGAATTGATAAAATCGCTCGAGCTCCTTTCAAAGATGTGGATGCACTTCCGTTTCCAGAACTATCATAATTATCAATTTCCATAAAATCATCACAGTTTTTAATGCAATTCCGATTCGATGTCTGAATGGATTATGGAGGATAAAGTATTGAATATTAACATTTGTTATCGATACATAATAGAATCTGTTTTATCATCATATTCAGTAGGAATCAAATTTAATAAAAGTATTATAACCCGAATATACATTAGATTTCTTTAAAGATATTATCAATTTCCTATTGACAAGTTTTCTTTTATTGAGATTGAGAAAGAAAAATAAACTTGAATTTTATGATTAAGAAATGAATCCATGAGTTCATGGCGATATGATGTTCTGATACCATGATAGTATTTGTTGCTCTAGAAATCTATAGTTATTCATTTCTGAAAGAACTTCTCTTTTCTTAGTTCTCCTTTTCCAATGGATATGAAAAGCTACTCCTGGAGGTTTTTTCTATTTGGAAGGAAAGAAATTTAAAATTCAAAAATTTATCAGTCTCTTTCTTTCACCCAATTCGATATTCAAGTTGATAATATGATCCAAGATCTGTTTAACTGTGAATAAATGAACTTAATATGTCAGAAAAATTTTATCTCGATTTCGTTTTTCTATCCATATTAAATGATATGACAATAAAAAAATTCTAAGGATTTTAAAAACTTTTTTGACTCTGATGTTTGGATAAAAGTTGAATATTATCATTGATCTACCTACAGAAAACTTACCTGGCCAGAAAGTAATACTTTGTGTGCAAGTTTCAAATAGATATCATGAGTTTCACCAAGCCTGAAATCAGAATTGAATTTTATTGTCAATCAATTTAAAACTGACCAATAATGATTACCTGAGCTTGTGAAAATTATCATCTCCAGAGGAAGATTCAAATATTGAGCTGATTGATTGTCTCTGAAGAAAATAAATAAGATCAGAATTATTGAGCCACAATTTGAAAGTTTGTTTGGCCAGTTCTCATTAAATCTCACCTTTTCTTCGAGTGAGTCAATATCAACCAGGTAAACTCTTGACCTTTCACATGGTAAAAGTCCTTGAGCTTGGATCATTATCTTATTGATCAGAGCTTCAAGACTAGAGGTTTCCTCGAAAATGGATCGTGCTAAATTCAGCAGAAGCTAAAATATGAATCGAAGTTGCAAATAAAATTGTTGGACAGATTCTATTAATAAAAATCTTTCTTCAGGTCCCAAAAAACAATTTCATTGAATTTAATTGTTTACATTGGTAAAAGTTATTGAGTTATTATTTTACCTGATTACGTTTATATTCCTGAACAGAAAGTTCAAATAGTTGAGCATTTTGAATCCCGATTCCACAGAAAGTTAAATACTTTTTGAAATCCTGTAGATAAATGATTACAATAATTCAGAATTTTTGATATAAACTTTTTGAGTTTACAAGGAACTTTAAATTCAATCATGATATTAAATCTTTTGTTCAATAATTGATCGTTTTACTTTATGAGATTTTCTTGAATTTATTGTGAATTCTTTTTCCATTAAGTTATTATCATGATAACTGTACCTCAACATCCTGTTGGCTGAACCAGGATCCATCTGGTAGCTTATTTATACATTGAGCCACTCCAATAACATCTCCACGTCCGTTGAGAATTGGTAAACAAAGAATGGATTTGGTTCGATAACCGGTCACTGAATCAACCTCCTTGTTGAATCGATGATCCTGGTGAGAATGATAGATGAAAGAATAACAACTTTCAATTCAATTCTTTTCAAATTTCAGCGATGAATTTCAAATAAATACACAGGGAATTAGTTGTTCGTTTATTTTATTAGTACTTGTATTAACCAAATATCAATACATAACGTGTTTCGAACAACTAAGTTCAACGTAGTTTTTTTCATTGGAAAAATGCGGTGATTTCCCTCGATTCTCGACATCTTATCATCAATCTAAGCTTTTCTTTTGAATTAAATCGATATGTTACATTTATTTCAGTGGGTGTTCAGATAATCGATCGAAAAACATTCTGATCACGTCAAGCCTTGAAAACCTTTAGAACAAATGGCTTAAGCAGAAAGAATCAATTTCATCATTTTAGAAAATTTAGCTTTTGCACTAATTTGAATACGAACCTAAATTCTGTGAAGATGATCGTCTTCTTTCTTTGAGAGAGAGAGAGAGAGAGAGAGAGAGAGAGAGAGAGAGTCTGGTGTAACTCGAAACTTAAGTAACTTGTAATACAATTGAAGGTAAAAGGATTATATTCTAAAAGAAAAAGACAATTTGTACTGTGCAAGTTTGATGAATTAATCCGCTTTAAATGATCGTTCTAAACATAAAACATTGTCCTTGAATCCAAATACTGAGTATTCAGCTTAAGATTTATACATAATACATGTGCATTGTTATCAATTTTCAAGATAAAAAAACTTACTCGTAATAAGAATAAAAGTATCATGCAAAATGATACAACTTTTCATATACATGTAAAAGCTGGACTCAATCATTAGTACAAATATTTATAAATAGTTATTAAAAAGTTTGATTTCAGACAATCTGAAGATAAATTATCGTTTGAATAAGATACAGTTCAACTCTGTTTCCAACTTATATTTATAGAAATTGCGGGAAATTTATCGATGATATTTACTATTATCAACTTTTAATTTGATGGGAGTGAAATTTTTATAAAAAATCTAATTTCTTATGATAAAGAACATGTTTATCACTATAAAAGTTTTTTGATTCTAGTGAAAGTTCTGAATTAATATCTGAAATTTTCAAGTAATTCATCAAAGTCATGATACAATCAGGTTTAAGAATCAGCCGATTCACGAGATAAACAATTAGATGGATGTTGAACTTAAAGATAATCAATTATCTACGATGGGTAGATAAAACACTCATGATCGGTTAAATTCACAATTGACTGAGTTTCCTGTTATTACCTAAACTTAGATGACAAGATGATAATTGATCATTTTGATGATTATTATGAACGGTGATAAGCATCATCCTCATCATGGTGATTCAAATGAAGATTCTGATGTTGGTTATTAGTATTAATAATAAGTGAAAAAAACTATTAACATAATAATAGTCAATAATGAAATTAAACATGACAAAGCTCATCTTCCATCTCATCACACACATAATCTCACCTTGTCCACACCCACTCAATCATCCACAAAAAAATATTACTCTTAATCCTAAGTATTAATAACTAGACTAATAATTCATTTGGATTTCTCATTCCTTATCTTCTTTATCCATGAGTTGGAAATCCTGGTGAACATTTAAATAAACAGAATACATCATGATCAAAAAGATGGATAATAAAAATGTTATCGATTTTTTATTCCAATGTCTTTATCTTAAAGACAAACCTCACATGGTAAACACCAGGAAATAACAAAAAAAAACATTCATTATTATCATACGAAGTTTTCAATATTAATCTGTTTCTCTCGATGTTTTTAGCATTTCTCTTTCTTAATTGTCGTTATGATATTCATGAGACAGAAGGAAAAACTTAATATTGAACTTGAATAAAATAATTTCCATCAGAAGATGCTGATAAAGGTAAATTGTTTAATAATGAGAAAAAAAGAGGAAAAAAGTTTCGAGTTCTAATAAGATCTCTTTTCTTGGTAAAACAAAAAATTCTCATCGAGCAAATGATAATAATAAATACATCATGAAAATTGTCGGAATTCCTTGGATCGTTCAGATAGCTATCATTAGAGAAATAGAAATGAATATCTATGAATTAATGAATATCATTATTGTCATGGTAAGAAATGAGAATAATTTTTTCCTCTCCACTTCGAATATTCTGAACATCAACCATGAAAAGCTCATTTGAATATACACTTTGATGTGGAGATGAAAAAAGTATCAAATGTAATACAATTACCATTGAAAAAATCTCTTAATCTCTTAATTCTCTTGGTGACTCGAAGAGGATTGGGTGAAAGAAGGTAAATAAATTAAAGAAACCAGGATAAAAAGTAATAGCAAAATAACATGAGAGGCAAAAAATCGAGTAGATTGTGAACCAGGGTTGAAATTGAATGGAAAGTAATCAGAATAATGATGATTGAACTACAGGGTATTCATGGGTTATTATAATATCAATTTAATTCTGTGTCTATGTGTATCTGTAATAATAATAGTTGAAATTACCATGATCATTGGATTTCGTGATACCTTAGATCCATGAACATCATAAAAAGATTCAATGTATTATAAGTTTGGATTTAGTGTATATTGATTGATGGTAAAGTTAACTTTTGGCTTTTCTGTTCATGATCAAGTTCAGAATCCCAGAATAATAATATCTTCTGAATAATACAACTGATTGAGTAAAAATGAAACATGATATTACTTCTGGTTCTGTGTTGATAAGATATATACCCAACCCTTTGAATCCTCCCTGATAATCAATCATGAATATTGTTTTTCTACTCATACTGTAGATGAAGATTTCATCAGTTGATGATCAACTAAAATTGAAAAATTAAATAATCCAATAGAAAAGTAAACAAGAAATATTATATAATCACCAAGAAATCAGATCAGTCATGATGATTATTTATTCAGCTTTTGATTATGCATCATGAGGATGCCTGGAACATGATTACTTCGAACCACCAACATGATATTATTAGTTATCAGAAATATAAGTAAACATGAACTGCAATGATATCATATAATCAAATGTATTAATAATATGTTTTCATCCATAATAATACAAGGTAAATATTTATTGGAAAAAGTGAATCAAGAGTAATCATGTTTCAGGGTGTTAATTATTAACTCAATGAAAAGAAGGCTTGAAATTTTGGTTCCATGTCATAATTGGATGATATTGATCGGAATAGTTATTGAAATTTTTATTATTAGGAAGGGAAAAATTCTGAGAATTTAGACTCATAAGAGATAATATAATGAACGAAAATGAAAAAAAAACGTAATCAAGAAATTTGAGTCTCAAGATAATTAATATCACAAGAATATCAGCATTAATATTATGCCCTGAACACATTAAGTTTCAGCATCATGTTAGAAACGATATAATCTTGATCATTATCACTCAGAACTCTAATTTAATCTCCACAAAATTGTGAAAGTAAATCTTATGGAGAAAGTGAAAATTTTTATCATGGATTAATCAAGGATTAGTTTCAGATGAACAATTTACTAATTGCTGTTTATTTAATAGAAGCTTTTGTTATTTGTCAGTTTGATTGTTTTCCAATTTACTCTAATCAAAATGATTAACATTCAATTGGTTCAATTTTATTTATTCATAGTTTTTTTTCTGGTGTAAACATGTTAGTCTTGTAATATTTACACTCCATCCTACCATCACCAATTTCATCCACCACCCACTTTCAGACAAACATTTTACTAAACAAAATGCTAGACAAATTTACCAAGAGAATTGTTGTTTACCATTATTATTAAAATAATCGAATATCAAGGTAACTGAATTGAATTTTCAATCGAGATATAAAAATTCTCGTTATTTTTGAAATAACAATCGTTTACTATTTTCACCATTGAAATTGAATGAGATTTTCAGAATTGAAAAGAGTGAGACAAGGCAGTGTTTAAATCTTTCTGAAAGTTTAATCGAACGAAAAATTTTCAAATATTAGAACTTTAATTCGATGAGGGCAAAACTAAAGTTTCTAATACCTAATATTTACTTTTCTGCTTTCTTAACTGTCGTTCTCTCTCTCTATTCTCGTATTTATCTTAAAGTCTCTTCCGGATTCTGATTGATCCGAGCAAAATTCTGGTTGACTTCAACTCTGTTCCATGTAACCTTTTCCCCTGAAATTTAGGTTACACTCGGTTAGATCTTGCTTCAAGTGTGAATGAGAAGCAAAAAAGACAAAAAAGAAATCAAAGTAATCCTAGATTTTCGGGTTTTCTCTTTCTCGTCTTTCTTTTTTTTCCACTCCCTAATCTTGAGCATCTCCCTCAACTTCATCATCATATTCATCCTTCATTTTGAACAGATAATGTTATCAAAACATTATTTCCATCACAAGGGATGAGGATGTTAAATGGTAACAAAAAAAAGTATTAGCAATGATATTTTTATTGTTTAAGTTTCCATCATGTCATAACTTAATATCGACAGAATCCTGAATCCTCATGTAAACAAAAATAAATTACACTGAACATACCCCGAAGGTATTAATGCTAATATAAACTTGTAATAGAAAACATTGTAATTTCTAGATTATCATGTAAATCATGGTAATCGTCAGAAGATGTTTCTAATCAGAATTTTTGAAGTTTGACAAAATTATCCTTCTTTTAACATTTTTTTTATCATGAATAATATTCAAAAAGTAAGATGGTTCTCTGAATTCTAAGAATTAATAAAAAGTGAAATTTATAAATCTTTTTATTAGCAAAATTATAATAGCAAAAGTTAATTTCATTCTAATGATATTTATGGATAATAAAATGTCTCGAGATTGTTTTTTTTTTGCTTCTTCATACCTCATATGCATTCCTTAGGTTGACCACATCTTTGTGTTGTGCAACATGTCCAGCTATTCCCAAGCCGAATGGAATTGGTGAGATTTTCGAATAATGTTCCGCCGCGGAAAGAGCATCTTCCATGATGGAATTGGGTGTTACATCGAAAAGTTTTGGAACCAGGAAGCGTTTCTCTCTCCCCCCTCGAGCCAAGAATAAGGAGCCACGGTCAGAATTTATGAGAATGCAAACATTGACCAATATCTTATGGCAAAGAGTATTAATGTCCAGCTCATTTGAAATATCTCGAATCAATTCCATGAGTAAATCCTCTTCAGATAAATTTCTTAATTGTTCCCTTAATTCATTTCGAGATAACTGATCAGCTGAAAATTAAGATACATTGGGGTGTGGTTAAGACAAGAGGTGTGAAGAAAAAATTCAGCAAAACAATTAGTTCAATGTTATCATAATATCATCACATTTACCGTTATCATATTCTATTTTTTTCAGACATTAATGACTTGGATTCATCAGATTATCAATGAAAATCAATTACAGCACAGTTTAATCAAGCAAAAATAATTATCTTATTAATGATTTTTACAATTAAATTCACTGAATTTAAATTAACTGATTAACTTTTCAAGTGAACATGTTATATAAGATTGCCTGATTGAATCTCTCAAAATATTTTTTTCAATTCTAGGATGTAATCACTTCTCGTTCTGGTGTTAACATGAAAATTGGATCATAAAATTAATTCAAAAATTCTGATTCCTACATGACTTTTTTGGTAGTTTTCATGAAGACGAGGTGAAAGTTCAGTTACAAACATGGCTGGCCCATGAAAACATTGTTTATTATTTTTACTGTTCCCTTATGGATAAATCAACTTAGTCGATTTTGCTTTTATTTTCATTTTATTTGTCTTTCTCCTTCCTCGAGACAATTTGTCCAAAATTTTCATGTCAATCTAATACCATCATTCTCATGAATACAGCTTTGAATTACAACCAACCGTCTTCAGGGAATTTTCTATCTTGTTTCATTATGTTACCAGAATAGAAATAGAAACGAATTTTTTTCTCACCATTATCCTACTTTTCTCTTTTCTCTATTAGTCTTTCAAGATTCAGATTCAGACGAGAGTTGGTTTCATAAAATTGATCAGTTATCTACTCTTATAGCTAATTATTAATAACTTATCTTTATCCAATAATGATTCGTAACAAGGATAAAGTCTTATGCTAACATACATAAAATGTGTATTTTTTTAGTTTTTTATTCATTTTTTGAAAAAATTTTCATCATTAAAGTTACACAAACTTTGAAACCATGATGATAATCATTCAACAAAAAGTTCTGGCTCTAATTGTTTACCAACTTTGAATATAATTCCAACTGAATAACAGAAAAATAATTACCATGAATGATAAATGGTAAGGGAAATGAAAATATATTATAATTAATTTCTGAGAGAGATGAATTAAATTTCATATACCAGAATTTTAATTACATTCAGCTGATCTAATTGCTAATTGTCCTCTTGATAATCACCTTTGAGTCGCATTAAAAACTTACAATCGTCATCATCAAAGATAATATATAACTGTCTTTATAATCAACATTGAAAATCAACTATTGGTTTCAAAATGTTAATCATCATTTCCGTTTCCGTTTGACTTTTACCATTGTTCATTTGATATACAAATCATCTAACATTTTGGAAAACAATTGAATCAATTATTCACAAATAAAATTACTAACCATTAATAAATTATATTAATGGCTCAAAAATGATTAATAAGGCAAATTGATTGATTATAATCAATTGAAAACGAATAATTAATCAATATTAATGATGTTTAACAATAATGATTAACTATCAAGTTGATTTGATTATATAATAACAATAATGGTTTTATTAACTTCTGATAATCAACATAACAGTAGCTATCATATGATAATCATCTTGTTATTATAAATAATAATAAAATGATGAGCGATGATCTTGATTCCAGAATAAATTGTTGGTTAAATTAATTCAATTCCCTATTGAAAATCATGATGATAACAATGGTGATTCTTGTTGACAGATAACCTTGAAAATTATCAACCATATGATAATCAACATCATCAACTTCATCCAAAGTAAATGAAGATGAAGACAGAATATCTTAATAAAAAAAAAGTTCTTATCATTATCATGGAAATCAGGATAATCTTATTCGCTTCTCTCAATGAGAAGATAATGAGCAAGATGAAAGATGAAAAAACTCTTTGGTGTTTACATGAACAGTCACTTTCTTTCTCTTTCTCTTACTTTTTCATCTTTCTTTTTTTTTTATTACCATGAACGAGGACGAGATCAAGATGCTGATGCTGTTGTAGTTGTGGTGGTTTTTTGGGTGATGACTGAGATGAAAGAATTGATCCTAAAAATAAAATGATCCCATGAAAGCTTCATGATAGACTCACATGGTCTTTCTCATTCAGAGTTCTCAGATTTTCTTTTCATGTCAACCTTACAATTTATATTCTGGTCTCTTTCATCGTCTCATTTTTTTCTCAGGTTCATTTTTCATCGATAATCATTTGAAATCATCAAAGTCGTGAATCAGTAAACGTCATAGAGAATCAATCATATGTTCATATAAAAAAAAAGATGATTGATTATCATTGAGATTTTTTTGTTGTTATTTTGATGATTGTGATTAAATATTTTACTGATAATCAATAAATTGACGTTGATTGTGATATAATAAAAGGGAAATAAAATGATTCTCTCGTATTTACCTTCGTTAATATTTAAACTTGGTCGGTGTGATTTTCTGGTTCCTTCAATTATATCCTGAAATAATTCAGATGTAACTGAATTACGTCCTTGTTTGGTCATTTCAACATATGATTCAGCTAGAATATCATCATCCACCCCCTTTTTATCATCTTCCACCTCTACTTTTCCACTAACCCCCTTTCTTTCATCATCATTACTCCCACTCTCTTCTTTAACATCATTATTTTTATCATCATTTCCTATTCTTGATAATAATTCATTAGAATTCTGAGATAATGGTGATAATGGTTCACATGATGATACTGTTTTAATGATGCTTGATGATGATGATGATGATGATGATAAAGTTAACGATCTTTTTTGTTGAGATGAGACTTGATTGTTATCAGTAAGAGCTTGACCATTGTCCATTGTTGATATCTTAATCACCTTATCGGCTTGTAATGAGCTAATCAATTGATTTAACTGCACTGGTTTTAAATTACTTGTCAACCAATGTTTAATATAATCTGGATGTTGTCTCAAATAATTATCAACAGTTTGCCTGCCATCAAGGGTTGACTGTTCACTTCCCTCCATTTTTAATATTAATTATTAAACTTTAATTGTTGTCACAGAATTCAACTATTTAACTTGTATATTTTTGTCACGTTGCATAATTTATATCAGCACACTAATTGTTGGAATGACAATCAGTTAAAACAATGTTTCACATTTTAATCATGTGTTGATCGTGTTAGGATGTTGATGGATTGCCATTGATAACATTTTCGCAGAGATCAACTGTTTACCTTCATTGACAATTTCATTGGTTTAAATTTTTCTCTTTTCTTCTTTCACTTGTTTACAATTCACTGACAATTTACAATTTAATCATAATAATGAAAACTTTTCTCATATTTTACTGAATAAATCAGAGGGAAGACTTAAGAAGATGATGAAGATGAGATGTCTGATGAGAGTGTAAGATAGAATGAAGAGAAAAGAATAAGCCATGAAATTCAGGCTCTTTTTCCCCCCCCTCTCTCTCTCTCTCTCTCTCTCTCTTTATTAGTCTCCGATTTCATTCATGAGGCTGCGTATTTTTTTCACTCTCTTAATCTATGTAACTTTTTCTGTCTATTTTGTCTTTCTCTCTCTTTCTCTCTCTTTCTCTCTGGCCTCTTCTTATCATTTGAGTCTCTTTCTCTTTTTTCCATCTCAGTTATCTGATTGAGCTCCATGACAATCACTAATAACTTTCTAGTTTGATAATTATCAGTTTTAAACGATGTAGTTTGATTTTCATTCTTTATTAATACATTGTAAGTATATTGTGGTTTTTTTTCTTAGCCAATGTGAATATTAAAGCTCTTCTCAGTAACTTTCGCCAAGTTATCAAAAGGTTTAGTCGAGTTCCTATTTGATTTAGTCAGCCTCATAGATGGCAGAAATTTTCTTAATTCTTTTTCAATGAATTGTGGAGAGTATCAATTTATTTGGCCAAGTTCTCAGAACAATTAGTGAAGTATAACATGAATCTGATTAAAGATTTAATTGTTTTGGTTTCTGGAGTTTCCCTCAAACTAGTTACTAATTTTTATGATAGATGGAGACTCATTTCTAAATTTTTCACTTATCTGATTCGTAACAAAGGGCATAGTAATGGGTAAGATAACCTTAACAGTTGGAAGTGGAGCTAAGTTAGAGGCCGTAATATTGAAGTGTTTTGCGGTCAAGGAGTGTGGACCTGCTAGACTAACTACCAGTTGAGGCCAGGATTTTTCGTTACTCTGACACAGCATCCATTTGGTTGGATCGATTCACCCACTAACCTGGTTTCTTTCGCGTTGGTACAATTCTGATTAGAGAGTTTGATAGGGTTTTCCTCTCGATCATTTTCTGAAGCACTTTTTTGGTTCGCGGATGATTGTGGTTCAGTTTGTTGTTCATGATGACTAATTGTTTCCAAGATTGGGTTTGATGTGATTTTCTAGTCAGTGTTATTTACAATGCGTTTGATGGCTGATAAAAAGTGTGGATAGCTTAGAATTGCAGTTCTATGATAATTTTGATAGCCAGAGATGAGCAGGTTAAGCAGTAGCGCGTTTACGAAGGTGCTTCAGAGCGATTATTGAAGCAGGTTTCCGACTGTATTGCCGATTTGTTTGTTGCTTGAACATTATTCAACCTGGAAATAATGTTTGACCTTTCACGTCCAGAGCAGGACATTTTTGTAATGCCTGTTTCATTTTCTTTCATCTTTGAGCGAAAAATCGTGATAACACACAGCGTGATTGAAGTGCAGATGCCGGCGTTTGATTGCAAATAACTTTTATTTCTACGAATTTCTTATCAAAAGCATATCAAATTAAAGGACAAAGTCTAATTAGAATAGTAGATGGAATTTGAAAAGTTATAAATTTTTCCTTTTCAGAAATTCAATTATCATGGACGATGTTTTTTTTTAAGTTTTCTGTATTAATAAGAGTATAGAATTTCGAAAACCAAAATTTGAGTGCAATTCTTGATTTCGTATGATAGCTCAGTTTATCAGCTACAATTTTGTTTAAAGAAAAACTTGATATCGACTTTAACTTCGAAGATATTGGCTGAGACACAATATAACCTACTGAAAATAACCAAAAATTTGTCAGTTTTCACTATGGTAAATCATTTGATAAAACTCGGTAATTGGCAAATATGATTTTTTTTTATTTTTTATTAATTATTAACGATTTTCTTAAAACATGAACAATAAAAGTTTCAGCAACAGTTTTAGCCAGCAAAGGCGGGGGCTGACATCTTAATACCCATGACTGGGGTTTCGACACTTATGATATCAGAATCTGATGAACCTTTTGGATTGAGCCTTTCTTAGGACCTGAATTGGCTTTTGCCATAGAAGTTGCGCTCGAAGATGAATTAGGTCCCATTGGTATTGGACCTAATTTACCTTTACCTTGTTTTGGTGATCCTGATGGAGATGATCCTGAACCTGGGGCATGTCCTATTCCGTTATTGTTTGTGGTGGACTTTGAAGATGAAGATGATTTAGCTACACTATTTGAGGGGCCTTTTGAATCTCCACCAGAGCCCGAGCTCGACCCTGAACTAGCACTCGAACCAGATCCAGTGTTGGACTGAGGAGCTTTACCTGATTTTGATGCATCACTAGAAGATGATGAAGCAGCTGCAGAACTAGATGAAGATTTAGCGGGTGAACTTTGTTTATCGTTAGAGCCTGAATCACTGGTAGAAGATGAAGCAGAAGAACCAGCGGAAGATTGAGCGGCGGAATTTGTATTTTTTTTACCGTTAGAATCTGAACCACTGGTTGATTCTGAAGTTGAAGTTGAACTTGATCCTTTACTAGAACTGGAACCAGATCCATTGGATGATTTAGAAGCTTCACCTGATTTCGATTTATCACCGGTAGATGAAGCAGCAGAACTAGCAGAAGATTGAGTTGTTGAATCTTTTTTACCGTTAGAGCTTGGACCACCAGTTGATCCTGAACTTGAGCTTGAACTTGAACCAGATCCTTTTCTATAGACAGAATCAGCACCAGAATCGGATTCAGAATCAGCATTAGAAGTAGCAAGAGCACCAACACCAGCACCAACACCAGCACCAGCACCAGCACCAACACCAGCACCAACACCAGCACCAACACCAGCACCAACACCAGCACCACCAGCACCAGCACCAGCACCAGCAAGCACCAACACCAGCACAACAGCACCAGCACCAGCAAGAGCCCCAACACCAGCACCAACACCAGCACCAGCACCAGCACCAGCAAGAGCACCAACACCAATCATATCAGTGGGAATCATTCCAGATTTAGAATCAGCACCAGAATTTGAATCAGCACCAGATTTAGAATCAGCACCAGATTTAGAATCAGCACCAGAATTGGAATCAGCACCAGAAGCAGAATCAGCACCAGAAGCAGAATCAGCACCAGAAGCAGAATCAGCACCAGAAGCAGAATCAGCACCAGATTTAGAATCAGCACCAGAATTTGAATCAGCACCAGATTTAGAATCAGCACCAGAATTTGAATCAGCACCAGATTTAGAATCACCACCAGAATTTGAATCAGCACCAGAAGCAGAATCAGCACCAGAAGCAGAATCAGCACCAGATTTAGAATCAGCACCAGAATTTGAATCAGCACCAGATTTAGAATCAGCACCAGATTTAGAATCAGCACCAGAATTGGAAGCAGCACCAGAAGCAGAATCAGCACCAGAAGCAGAATCAGCACCAGATTTAGAATCAGCACCAGAATTGGAAGCAGCACCAGAAGCAGAATCAGCACCAGAATTTGAAGCAGCACCAGAATTGGAAGCAGCGCTAGAGCTAGAACCAGAATTAGTATCAGTTCCAGTAATAGAACTAGAATCAGATTTAGACTTGGATTCAGATGTCATTGTTTTTAACCTTTTCATCATATTATCGATTGAACTAATGTCTGGCATTCCAATAAGCATATCGGGCATAATAAAGTCATCTTGATCAGGAGTAAAATCGGTATCAACATTATCAGGACAATAACCAGCACAAGGACCACTACTAGCACTTTCTGAGAAATAGTTGAATAATAATAAAAGTAAAACACTTAAATTGGCTAGTCTTAAAGCCATTTTGTTAATCGTAACTTTTCAATTTCAATGTAATTGAATAGATGAGATGAGATAGTTGACTGATAATTTCTTTTGGAATCTATCGCTTTTTATACCTAAAAAAAGTCCAGGTGTCGAACTTTAAAGTCTCAATTGCAGCTAAAGAAACATAACCTTTCAATAGCATTTGTGTCAGTTTCAATAAGATAATTTTGATCATTATTTATTTTAGGGATCATTCGTGACCGTTCACATTTGGAAACGTTTATCAACATAGTCTATTAAAAAATAACGTAACAACTTAATATCCGAACTTGTGACAATTTAACATTTCTAGGCTATTTATCAGGTCAATTTTTTATTTGCGATTCAGCAGAGAAAATGTAAAATTCTGGTTTGAAACTTTTCCATAAGCCATTGATAAACAGTGGCCTCTCAAAGTCGGAAAAGTGGTATATGATAAGACGACATTTAGCTGTTATGCCCTGTATATTCCAGTTAATTAATAGTTTTATTAATCAGTTTCAGTTGCAAACTGTTGAAACATGAAAGTGCGAATAACCTTGTCAATATATTCCAGAGGCTTCTGAATAAATATTTTTAGGATCATTCGTACACTTTCACATTTGGAAAAGGAAACGGAATCAGTTGGAAACGTGGTTAACATGAGAATAACCTTTACAAAAGTTCCAAAGGTATCTGAATAAATATTCTCGAGTCATTTTATTTTTCACAATCATCAATTTATTTTGTAAATATGATTTAATGAATGAGACCAACACAACAAACCGTCAAACCAAATTTTCATAGATTTTAATCGCTAAATTTATGATTGATATTTTTTACAAATAAAATGGACCTTCTAGTTTACGGTGGTTTTCCTTGTGGACAGTTTCGACCTCTTCAGCAGCTTCTCGTGCAAACGCAATTCAGTCCCTAAGCAAGACCAAAATCCAAAAGGTGCATCAGATTCTAAAATCATGAGTATTAAAGCTCAAAGAGTTTCTGTGAGTGTATCAGCCTCCGCCTTTGCTGGCTAAATGAACTTTTTTTGTCCATGTCTTAAGAAAATCGTTAATACATAATACTGTAATTAATAATAAAAAATATCAATATTTGACAATTTTTTCATTCGAGATAAGTATTATTAATAGTACTTTAATGGCCGAAAATATTATATTATTTTTTAATATTAGGTTAGAAAGTTATCTATATTGGTGAAACAAGATTTAATTAACAAATTGATTTTAGAGTATTTGATTGTGCTATTGATATAAACATAATAAAAGGTGAAATTAATTGTTTGATTAGATCAGATTTGAATTTCATGTTGATCTTCCTCATTATTATCGACTTGTCTTGACCATGTGAAATCGTTAGATGGACGTCTAAATATTGCCGATGATTTGATTTTCATCACTGAATAAGGACCAACAAAACCAACAATTAAACCAATCAACATGAATAAAACGATTATGCCAAATGCACCAACTCCAGTAGTACGAACATTTGGTTTTTCAGCAATCCAATTATCTTTATTTACTTCTTCTTGATTCTGTTTAGTTTTCATTTGATAATTGTGGCAACTTGTCGATTGATTGGTGACAGTTTTATCATCGAACACGGAGTATTTGGTCAATTGACAAGAAGCTGGTTCTTTTCCTTTTGGACAATAGTTGAAAGATTTACATTGATCATCATCTCCTTGTTTGTAGTCGAAGCAAAAGGCAGCACATTGATCCATGTCCAGGTCGAGTTCTGTATGTAAGACTTCAGTAACAATCTCCGAGCCAGTTAGTTGATATTTTTTGGACAATTTAGCTATTAAAAGTAAAGAGTAATTGATTAGTTGGTTGATTGATTTCGGCTGAGAAATGAAAAACTTACGAGTATAAATGGTACATTTTGAGTCAAACTTGGTATTACTTTCAGAATAATAGCCACCAAAAGTACAAAGACCATCACAGAATCCAAATGAAAAACATTCTGACGTTTTAGCACATTCAGAAGCGCAGTCATCGACCCATAGTTTTTTTGACACCGAAATTGGTACCTTGTAAGCCTTGTTGATTTGTGGAGTATAATCAGAAAGATAGTTCTTTACGTAGGTCTTACAATGTTCTTGAAATGTCAAATTACGGCTGATTTGTAATTCACTTAAACTGGACACTATGCAAGAGAAAGAATCTGCATTATCACAGAACGTAAAAGTTTCGCAGAAAATGTCTTCAGATTTTGAACAAGCTCGATAACAGTCACTAAATCGTTTTATGCTTGGAACTTCGACAATGTCCAATCCATTTGGAGTCAGCGCACCACGAGAATTGAACATTTTGTAAAGTTCTCTCTCTTTCTCTTCAGATCGCTTATCAGCAGCCACAACGTCGACTATTTCATAAGTATATTCTTCAAAAATGATTCAGAATTCAAGAGACGAGAAATTAATATGTGCTCTAAACCCTATTGGATCACTTTTTAAGTATTCCCATTAACAATATATCACCTGAGTCTTCTTGTCCTAAGGTGAATGTTTCATGAACGATCTGAACCAAAAGACTATCATGAATATCACTTAACGACTTCTCTTGGCCAAATCGATTTAAATTTTTCAGAGGAAATTTGAAAGCTGAACAATCGGTTCCTTTGGATGACGTAGTTGACTCCGTAACATCCGGATTCTCAGTGCTAACACATAAATTTTCATTTTTACAAAAGTAAACAACACTAGATAAACGTAAAAGGGTTAATTAGCAATTATCATAAAAAGAATTCAATAGTTTGAATTAGGTATTACCTTCCAGGAGAATAGTAGGCAGAAAAATATCTGAGACATTCAGCTGGGCTTTTGGCTGAAGTTTTATGCAAAACTTTTATCGAACTGGTTTTTATATGTTTGTAATCAACGGAAAATGAATCTGGAAGATTGAATTATATTTCGAGTGATAAATTTTGTTAAATTGAATCGAGATCATTTTCTTACCAACTATATTTGGAGCCTCGATAATTGTAACATCCGCCTCGATACGATCCTTGGAAAAAATAAACTCCACGTCGACAATTCGTAAAGGTGATAATTTGTAGGTTTTTACCAATTTTTCCATAAGAGATTTTCGCAAGCCATAAGTCATTTGCTCACTTTTTTTGATACAATTTGATTTTTTACCTTTAAAGTTAAGCGAAAAATAAAATGTTCATTGCCTTTTACTCATTGATTTTATCAAGCGTTCATACCAACATCACACAATAAATGGATAGTAAGTGTAAGGCGCTTAGTTGGGTCAGCGAAACAATCTCCCAATTTGAATGCATCCTCGTATTCACTATCAGGTAGATCAATATTGACATCGTAAAAATCACGCTGCATCGATTCAATTAATTGGAAAACTCCCTGTATTAAGAAGATATACTTTGTTATTCTAAAGTTGACAACTTAGGATTAACTCCACTTACCAAAGAGTCTTTTCTGTAAGCATTTCTAGTGGCTGCAACAATCATGTCATCAGTGAAAATTTTTTCTGTCGCCTGAAAGAAATAAACTTTATCGTATCTTTATTCAAATTTTTGGAGTTAATGTGTTGACTGGGATTCTTCAATTGGATAGAAATTGAGTAATTAATATTGCCAATCTAAAAGCATTCAATCAAATTACTTACCGATGATGATAAGTAAATTGTTGTTACAACTTTGTCATACTTTCCACTTTCGATAACTTTGTCTATTTGAACAGATTCCCAAACTGCAACTTTAAGGCCTGATCGTTGTTTCTGTGTTTGGTTAAATGATCAGTTTTGGATTACTTTTCATATGAATATTACACTATTTTCGCTCAATACATACAAAAATAACTTGACCAAGATACTTGGGTATTTTATCTAACCAATTGAACGCTTGACCCATTTGAAAATTACCATTAATGTCAATGCCAAGAGATTTCAGGTCAATTGGGAAAACTCTACAATCTCCCGACTTTGATAGGAGATATTGAACACCCAAATTATAATCATATAGATAATTATTCGTGTGCCCAAGCCGTGTCTCAGCTAATCTTATGATTTTACCTTCTAAATCACCATGAATCTAGAATAAATTGAGTTGATATGGTTTGTGATAAATCAAAGTTAATTGTAATTGGAAATAATCAACCATTATTACTCTTACCTCTTTCAGTGATGGATATTTGTTGTTGCTGGCTGTGTCTTTTGCGATAAAATGAATTTTTGTAGAATAGATTTCAGGAATTCCAAGATTATCTTGTAGATAAACGGGACAACCAACTCCTGGTGTTGGCTGAAATTAAAAGTAAATAGTTAATACTCATCGAAACAATGACATTTACTTTCCAATTTACCTGAACCGATTCAGCCAATTCTTGAAAAGTTACTGAGTTCAGATAAATATCTAATATGAGTGATTTTCGGGTATCTTCTTGGTCGGGATTAAGAGCGAGGGCAAGAGGATTGTATTCAGTCAGTTCTATTCTGTTTGGCTCTGTCACATCGCCGAATTGGTCTGTTGAATAGTTTAACAGTAAAATCAATCAAATGGTTGATGTTCCCATGAAGATAATACAGAATGTAGAATAAACTTACCTTTGTAATAAGCGGTGACTTTAATCTTTTGACTTATTATTTTGCTTTGCTTATGCATCAATGCTCCTCTAATTATGGTGTCATTTTCTTCTTTCTAGAATGAGAATAATTATTTTAAATTACAGCATCCAATGCTCAAATTCCAACGCACTTACCCATCGAGAATCAGCAATACGATAAATAAATGAAGGACCAATAAGAAGAATCGTATTGATCATTGGTTTGGTTACTCCAGGTAACATTTTATCCCAATCAGATTTGTATGAATAAAGATCACAATCATTATCTGAATTGCAGTCAAACAAAACGATAAAACTTTACTCACAATTGATAAAAATCATCAGTCAATAATTAATATTTGTAATAACTTATCTATTGATTGACAATTTGATTTGATCTTAATATTATCTATGGGTCGATATGAAAACAAACAATAAGTTGATAAGTTGATCGAAAGTAAAACTGCTCAAAAGAAACAATCAACTACACGTATTGTTCATTTGTCGACCCAAGTTATTAATATGTGGAATGG